ACTCGGTCCTGTGTCCTGCAGAGTTTAGCTCCAACCCTAATCAAACACACCTGAACCAGCTAATCAAGCTAATCAACCTGCTTCCCGGCAGGTGTGTTGAGGCAAGTTGGAGCTAAACTCTGCGGGACACCGGCCCTCCAGGACCAAGTTTGGGCACCTCTGCATTAAGTCCTCCAATTTTTAAAAGTACCCCCATTTTTATTATTGCAGTGCAATGCAATGCAAAAAAGAAATAATAAAAAAATGTAATAACAATGTAAAATTTATTGCAGAATTTATGCCCATTTAAAAAGCTATTAAAGTAATGAAATTCTAATTAGAATCATCATTGATATCTAAAGTGTAAAAAAATCCTGATTTTGAATAAAGTAACCATATAAAATAAATGAATAAATAAATAAATACATTTTTTGATGCCAAATAGGCTTCATTTTTTTAAAATAAATATAAATGTATTTTTTATTTGCTTTATTTATATTATTTTGATTTTGGGGTGAAATGTGACCTGGCCTGCATGTTTTTGTGAGGTTCACCCTGATATGGGGAAACTGAAGGTCATGTTGGGTTTTCTAGTCTCGACTGTGTGAAACGAAAGCGAATAACTGTCAGAAACGGAGCTGGAGAGACTCTTCTGATCCCACACACGACCTGCAGGCCTGGAAGAAAAACACACACACACACACACACACACACACACACACACATGTTGTGTATTCATCACGTTATGGGGACATTCCATAGGCGTAATGGTTTTTATACTGTACAAACTGTATGTGCTACTGCCCTACACCAACCCTACCCCTAAACCACACACACACACACACACACACACACACACACACACACACTCTCTCACACACACACACACACACTCACACACACACACACACACACACTCACACACACACACTTTTTTAAAGACAAGATTGTGTCTCTTGGCTGTTTGGACACTGTCCTACTTTATTTTCAGCCAATATTTATCTGCTCAGCAGGAACTTCTCAGATGTTGTCATGTATGTTGTCAACTTTCTAAGATATTTGTCTCTTTAGAATAATTAAATATAGACACAAACGAGTACAGTAAGCGACTATAATGTGGAGATGTTTTGATCTTGGAATAAATATAAATGTTTGCGTTCAGCCTGTGGCCGTTTTCCTCCTCAGACGCTCTGAAGCATTTATATCTTCTACTTTTTTTCCCTTTATCTCTCAGGCCGTCAGCACGATCACTTGGATTATTTTGATAACAGCGACTTTATCTATATGAGTTTTTTATCAAATCGCAGTGGCTGTGAGTTCATGAAATAAATAAATAAATATATGCACTGCGTGGTGTTTATTTACACGCGAGCACCAACCATCTTCCCAAACTCGTAATGAGAAGTGCTAATCTACAAAAAAAGAAGCTTTAAGGTCTAATTTTGATGGTTTAGCATTTGAAAATCAAGAAATTAAGACAGCCATAAATATTTTTTATAGTTGCCATGTATATTTTTCTTAAATACTATATTTTTGTTTTACAATGAAATATTATTATTTATTTTTTTTTGTAGCCTATTAATATGTATAGTCACAAAATTTTGATTCCCCCCCCATGCAGCCCTAGTACTAGAAATGTTTACACTTAAATAAACTTTAAATTCAAATCGAAAACATATTCTGTGGTAATGAAACTAATGACAAGTAGAGTTTTTCTGTAGTCAGTTTTAGCATGTCTCAGTGCATTGGTGTCACACATGTCACACACATGCACAAATCATTCATTGCATCATAAATGCGCTTTAGTTTCTGCTGACGGTGCAGGCGTATTTTCGCTGTTGTGTGTAAAAGCGAAGCGTGATAAAATCCGAGTGCTGATGGTACGTTTTCAAGTCTTCCACACTGACGGAACAAAGTAATCCAATTATGAAAATGAGCTTATTTTTGCCCTTTCTCTCTCTCTCTCTCTTTATCTTAATTTAAAGTTGTTCTGGGATCTGAACGCTCTTATCAGTGTGGGCCGCTGATTTTACAGCGAAACCAAACCGTTGATCAGCGATCTGCCCTGAAATAATGAGAGTGCAGAGCAAGCCACAGCTTTCTTTCTCTTCGTTCATATTCCTCCGTTTTTCTCCCACAGGTTTCTGGAAAACTCTCTGCTCAGCACCGAGGTGAAAGAGGGAGAGATTCTTCCTCCGACCATCCAGAAGCTGATGAAAGGATACAACAAATACCTCCGGCCTTTCTTTGACAGTAGGGACATAATGAATGTTTAATGCATGCATGTGTGTACTGTATGTGGGCTGAACGGCGCTTTACTCCCTCACATCTTCATTCAAAACAGATTGATTGATGCTCCATTATGTTACACATGCAAATGAGAATCGAAATGTGATTAAGCCAGAGTATCATCAATCAGAAAGCGAGAGACATGCATAACATAACAGCGAGATTCTCTGTAAACTGTTGCTCCACCATGACTGTAGACGACTTTTTATGTGAATTCCAGCTATAGCGCCCCTTGTGGCATCTCTGAAATATTACAAAATATAATGACGCATGCGGTTGAGCTTGCATTGCTCCCAAACCCATATGCATGCTCACGTGTTATTTTAGTACAGCTGATATACTATTATAATTTTTTGTTAATATTTTGAATTAGATTTTATTTTCATATTCTCTGTTTTAGTTAATTTTAGCTACAGTTTTAGTAAGTTTGTTGTGTGTTTTTGTCCTTTTTATTTTTATATATATGTCTATATAATTTGTAAGTTTTATTTTTTAGTTTATTTAGTTTTAGTTATTATAGTATGGAAGCTTGTTTCTGTCATAGCACAAAAAATAAAATAAAAAAGTAATTTGGACTTTTTAACTAGCAATTCAGGTTGTTGTTGTTGTTGTTGTTGTTTTCTGGAATTGTGAGATATGAACTCACAATTTTGAGTTTACATCTTGCAATTCTGTTTTTTTTCCACCAGGGAATAAAAATTCTCAGAATTCTGACCTTTGTTTTCGCATCTGAATTTTAAAAAAGTTGTCTTTTTTTATCTTGTGTCAAAAACAAGCTTCCATATTTAGTACTTCAACTAGAAGTACTTAAAGAAAATGAAATGTTGCATTGGAAACTAGCTGAAATAAAATAAGTTTAAGTTTTTTGTTAATGATGTTTATTTTTTTAAGTGATGAAAATTATTTAGTTTTTTTTCAGTTTTAGTTACCGATAATATCCCTGTCACACACAAACCAGATCAACCTGAGACCCTACAGCAGTCGAGACTAATGACTAGGGATGTGCCTGAATAGTGAATCCGAATTCGGAAAGCCACAGTAAACGAATAACGTGTTCTACAGAAGCCCTAAAGGGAATAAATACGAGATGGGAGGAAAAAAATATAATTCAATGCTTTCTCTCGCAAGTACATCGTTGGGTAATTACACTGTATATAAACTGTGGGCATCAGGAAGCCGCTATTAATATGCGGGGCATTGAAATCGCTTTTGAATGCACGCTCGCTTTTTACTTTTACTTTTCGAGATTCACGATCACACGTACTCTGTGTAAACTACTCCTCCTATCAGTCATCTCTCCTTACTCCGTTTATGTGGTAATTGAAATTGTATGTACTGTAATGTAACAGGCTACCGCTAGCAAGCAGCTAACCATAGAACCGGCTCCCTAGAACACATTATTCGTTTTCTGTGCCTTTCCGAATTCAGATTCACTATTCGGGCACATCCCTACTAATTACTTTATTAAAGCAGCAGCGCACACAGGTTAGAGAAACACAGTGAATCCATCGCTGTCTCTCCTCCTGTTGCTCCTGCTGTAAATTATTGAGTTGAGGACTGTTTTTTCATTAATTCATTCACCGTTTCTCCACCAGTGTTGAGGAAGTTTTGCTGTTGAATCCATAGGGACAAACACTTCAATAACACGGTGAATCTGGCGTCTCCTCTGGAGTCATTGCCTAGTTTGAGTGGTAAACAGCTGCTGTTTTATGTTGACGACACAATTATTACCGCTAGCAAGCGGCTAACCATAGAACCGGCTCCGTAGAACACATTATTCGTTTTCTGTGCCTTTCCGAATACAGATTCACTATTCGGGCACATCCCTACTAATTACTTTATTAAAGCAGCAGCGCACACAGGTTAGAGAAACACAGTGAATCCATCGCTGTCTCTCCTCCTGTTGCTCCTGCTGTAAATTATTGAGTTGAGGACTGTTTTTTCATTAATTCATTCACCGTTTCTCCACCAGTGTTGAGGAAGTTTTGCTGTTGAATCCATAGGGACAAACACTTCAATAACACGGTGAATCTGGCGTCTCCTCTGGAGTCATTGCCTAGTTTGAGTGGTAAACAGCTGCTGTTTTATGTTGACGACACAATTATGTGAAGAGAGACGTGTGTGGACAGCAGCTCAAACCATCAAACCAAGTGTAAAAATAGCCATAGAAAGAGCAGTATGTGTCAAGAAAACCATGAGAGGAAAAATATTGAATTATTGCCTCCACTCCATTGTTGCGTTCCACTGAAGTCATTGCTATTTTTCGTTCATTTGTCCCTGTTCACCGCATGTTCACTTCATTCTGTTGTAAAGATTTGTGAAGAAATAAAACACATGCTTCCCACATCGTCAGCTTTAATGAGCAGAGAGTTTGGCTCGCAGGGTTTCCGTCTTTAGCAACGATTCTCTGAATTATGATGACATGCCTTCTCTCCATCTCTGTTCTGCAGATGGTCCCGTCACGGTGGGCATGAGTTTAGACATCGCCAGTATTGATACCATTTCAGAGATCAACATGGTGAGAAACAGAGCACCCTCACACACCACATCAGTTTGCATGAATGATGACTCGAAAACTCTTATCTGCTCATTAGTGAGTATTATTTATTTATTTATTGCTCATACTTGAGATTAAGGGCTTGTTCAAGTTATTGACCTTAAGTAATACATTTTCCCATACCAGAATTATTATTATTATTATTATTATTATTAGTAGTAGTAGTAGTAGTAGTAGTAGTAGTAGTAAAACTAGTAGTAGTAGTAGTAGTAGTAGTAGTAGTAGTAGTAGTAAAACAAAATAAAATTATCCTTTTTAATAATAATAATTATTATTAAATAATTATATTAACATTATTATTCATATTTGTATGTTTATTATAGAAAATATTTACAAATTATTATTATTATTATTATTATATTCTAAATCTCATGAATCAATTTTTAGGATCTTCTAGTCAATCATCATTTATTTATTGCAATTAATTGCTTACTTTAACAC